AACAGATCATATGCAATATAGGTGAACAATTCAACTAGAAAAATTGAAAATAAATACAATGTATCTAAATACAAATTTGAGAGAGGTCATAATAGATCATTCTATCTTAAATAAATCAACAATTGTTTGTGGCAAATTTTAACATCAACTTGAGATTTTTTTTTTGTTAAAAAGTTCAATAATTTGAACATGTTCAACATTGTGGATAAAAAAAAAACAGCAAATTTTATATCAGTTATGCATGATATATGCTTAGGCCATCATGTATCTTTTGATACATGACTGACGAAACAGATTTTTTCCCATGATAGAGTTGCCATTTCTTTCTGTGGTAAATTTTATATAATATTTTTTTTGGGTTTCTAAGCTATTTACAAAAAAAAAAAAATAAATAAATAAAATAAAATAAAATGAATAAATATGCTAAGATTGAGGAAAGGCATGAACATTTTTTTTTCCAAAAATTAACATAAACAGATTCATGGATTTGGACAAAAAATATACAGACCCCAGAATGATATCAAAATTGTGAAAAAAATTTTCATTCTTTAATAATCAATTGTGCTTAGTTTAATTTGTAATGTATATAAATGTAGATAAAAAAAAAAATGTTAATAGGATAGTGAGGGTTACAAAGCACACCTGTGGGGGGTTCCCAGTCAGGCTTCCCGCTGGTGGGAGGGGTAGTACACACTGACCTTGATCACAGCATCTGTAATGTTGCAATAACAGCAGCAAAAATATGATGACATTAGTTCAATCAGTGTTTCTCAACCGGGGTTCCCCCAGAATGCTAAGGTTCAGCAAACGGTCCCCAAGGAGACATGTAATTTATTTTAAGGGTTATGCAAGGGTAAAAAGGTTGAGAAACACTCCGATAGTAAACAAGGATGTTTCATCAGGTAAAAACCAGAACATAGGGGGGAAAAAAAAATATTATTTCTCTGCTTAGAATCCATTACTGAATGGTTCTAGCCTAGCAGATTAAAAATTTTGCTCATGAATCTTGTGGCAAACAAAATCAAGGTTGAATGACAGAGTTGGAAATTTCTAGATTCTACTTCCTTAATGATTTAAAATTAAGCCTCATGACAAATTCATAACATTTGAAAACTTAAACAGTCACTATAATGTCTTAAATTAAATAGCTGAAAATAATTGTTTTTTTTTTAAATTTTTATTTGTATTCCTAATGTTTACTTCTTGTCGGATATGTAACGAAGTGGGTAGTAAATAGACTTCGGTAATATAAGCAAATGTATACTTAAGCTGTTTCCAAATGCTTCATATGAATCTCACATTTTTTTTTTCTATCATCAGTAAATATCATATCTTTCAGAATATTAGAATAAATGACTCTAAATTACAGCTGTTGCCCCGCATTAATATCAACAACTAAACACTTTTATTTATTTATCCTTCTGAATCTAAAATAAGAAATTGGTGGTTGGACAAAAAAAAAAAAAAAAAAAAAATGTTCATGCCTTTCCTCAATCTTAGCACATTTATTCATTTTATTTGTATTTTTTTTATAAATTGCTTAGAAACCAAAAAAAAAATCTGTACAATGTTTTAAGTATAAGCTGTGAATTCTCCTTCCTAATCATTTTTCTATATTTAAGGCAATAAAGCCACTAAGAGAGAAGGGGTTGCTGAGTGTTAGAGAATATGAGAAAAAAATACTATTAAGGAGAGAGAATAATAAAAAAAAAAACAAGAAATAAAGCAAAAGATAATAATTGAAGTTCTGTTCATCTTGTCTGGTTTTTCCTACATCCGCACATTGAGAACGCCTCCCTCGACAAAAAAAAACCAAAAAAAACAAAAAAAAACTGGTGTTATATAGCTCTTCCAGTTCCAGACCCACTAATGGCTAATACCTGCCCAGTATTGTTTATATGCAAATAGTCAGCACCACCTACTTTTTAAATAGAAGGTCTTCTCTCAACAGCCCATTGTGGAAGAGAGGGCAACTCCTGGTGCTCACAGCACCACATACAATCAATTCCGAGTCTTATTGGGCTGAACTGATTCTCTGTTACAGATGTTACATTTAAATTCTTGAAGATCAAATTTGACAAGAAGCCAGAAGAGAGTTCCACAAGCAAGAAGTGCAATAGAAGAAACTGTTAGCACAGAACTTATGGTTACATCTAGCCATTTCAGCTGTAAAAGGATGAGACTTTGCCACCAATCTGGTACTGTGCTTTAATTAATAAAGTCTAGGTATCAAAGCAGAAAGTTAATCAGAACAATTACCATGAAAGTATTTATAGAAAAGGCAAAGGGAAGACATGTTATGACAGAAGTAAAGTGACTAAAGCCGAGATGCCAGGTCAGGGCCAATAACATTGCTGATTCTTTGGATTTTATCAAGGATTTCTAAGTGTATAGCAGGAGCACCAGACCATGTGTTATATATTTCTCAAACAAAACTTACGCTATTTTCTTGCAATTATAACCAAAATTAGCATTTTAAATATCTACCATACCACTGACATAATAGCAAACCACTCACATTCCTTCTGTATTTCATTGGTGAAAAGAAAGTTCCATTCAAACAGCTTCTTTCCATGAAGCACTGCCCTATGGGATAGACTCCCTAGAGGTTGTTTCCCCATATATATATATATATATATATATATATATATATATATATACACACACAAGTATATGATTGGTGTATACGGAATAAATTCCAATAACTAACAATTGCTATTATTAAAAGAGTGCTCAATACAGAGTAGAGCAGATATAATTATTTATTTAAAAATTATAACATAAATATGTTATAAAATCACTACAAAAATAGCCATTTTGTTTCTACACCTCTGGTGTCTTATCAAGTGATGATGTTGAATGTAAAATAAATGGTTTTAAAAGTTTCAAATTAATTAACAATCCTTCACAAGGGGAAAATGCCATTACAAAAGCTAGAATGACCAATCAAAACACAAGTATAGGAAAATTCAAAAAACTTGACAACAAAGTAAGGTTATAATAGCTATTCAGAGCTTTAAAATTGGGGTTATATCAAAAAAGAATTTATTCTAACCAATAAGTATTAAATTATATGATAAAATTTGACATTAAAATTAAAAGTAAAAAATTACCAATTTTAAAATCTAAATTTAATCTCTATTAAGTTTAAAATTACTGAAGAGAAAAGAAAAAATACATGTTATTCAATTTATTTCTTCAATGAAATTACATTAGAATAAACGTTAATGTCGAATGGTCTACCCAACAAAATGTATACATTTTAATCCCAAGTGTGTGAGTGGGGTCCTAACCTCTCGCGTAAAACAATACAAACACACTCAGATTATAATACATAAGCACCCAGACATATTTAGATATATATACACACAAAAAAAGTGACGAGACAGGAAACATCTCCACGGCCCTTTATAAAAAAAAAAAAAACCAAAAAAAACTAACGAACACATACATACATACACAAATGTGCATGCATTTTTCATACACACCAATAAATACATGTACACACATCCACATACATTGACCTAGACAATCTGATACCACAACCAAGAAATATTCAAGACTGAAAGTGTTATTAAACGAATGCTAATCACTTATTAAAATAAACTTATACGGGCAAATATACAAAGATAAAAATGGTTAAAAATAACATTATTTAATATATAAGAAACAAAAATTCCAAACACACAAACATCTATAAAAATATATATTTTAATCATATAAGTCGATATATGCCTTATTATATATTAGGTGAAAGAAAATAAGAACTACCTACAGATATAAGTGTACAGTCACACATATATACATATACACACAAATATATGTCTACACATACCTACATAGATATATACACACACACATATATATATATATATATATACAAATACAGAAGCAAGTATAAATATATCAACCCACACAGCAATATAAAAAATAAACAAGCCAAATATAAATATATATACATACACACAGACACACACATATACATATATATAAGACATTTTTATGTTTAGTATTAATAACATTTACCGGCCTGAATGTCCGAGAAATTTTCAGAGAAAATATTTGTTCTCTGACAGGAATCGAACCTGTATCCTATACGCAACCGTCATTTAACCTGACGTGCCTTAACCGATCAAGCCACGGAGAATTGTTTGATTAGCAGTAAAATCGACCTTGCTAATTGAATGATTCTCCATTTCTTGATCGGTTAAGGCATGTCAGGCTAAATGGCAGTTCCGTATAGGATACAGGTTTGATTCCTGTTGGAGAACAAATATTTTCTATGACATTGAGGTCGGTAAATGTTATTAATACTGTTTATTATAAAACAGAGCATTTACTTAAATATTTGTATCTATAAAAAGAATGTATGAACATAAAAATGTCTTAAAATAATTGTTGAAAATTTCATTATATATATATATATATATATATATATATATATATATATATATATATATATTGCTGAATGTCCCAAGTTAGTTCAGAATGAGTAGAAGCAACAGTTGCTACTGATTGGTAAGACAATCCATTGGGACAAATACCATAAGTTCTGTTTTAGTATAAAAGTGAAGTGTTATAAGCATCAAGTAGATGTAAAAATGACAGTAATAAGATACAGTATTTTTCAGTCCAGGCAGATCATGTCATTGAAGCATAAAAACCTGGATAAGGGGAATAGCAAGTGTCAAATTATTGACTTTGGTGTTTCATATGATATGAAAGTGGACTCCAAAGAAACTGAAAAATAACAAGATCTAGTGAGAGAGTTGAAAAAGCTATGAATCATGACTGTTAAAGTAATTCCTGTAATAATGGGGGCACTTGGAATACCACTGAGAAACTTGAAAAAGTGCATAAGGATAATTAGAACTGAGATCAAGATTGTAGACCTCCATAAAACTGCCATCATTTACTCTGTAAGAATTCTCTGGAAAGTTCTTGAGCTGTGAGCAGTTTTGGTGGCACCATGCCTTAAAAACACAATTGGCTTATGGCAGTATCACATTGAAACACAGGTTCCTGTATGATCACTGAAGTTAAGCAACACTGAGCCTGACCAGTACCTAGATGAGTGACCACTTGAGAATACTAGGTACTGTAAGTTTGGATGTATGGGTGGTGTAATGGATAATGGCTTGGAATCTTTAATCAGAGAGCAAAGTTTAAATTCCAGTTGGGCTTGTTATATTGACTTATGCACAAATACCCTCGGAAAAGTTAGGAATCCACCTCTTCTCTCCCCAGCTATGGGTTAATTAATAAGACTTGTATCACTAAATCTTTATCCCCTAAAAAAAAAATTCTTATAATCTAAAAATATTTTCTGGTTTTAAATAACCTGCAAAGGGTTGATAAACCGTAGGAAATGAATCAATCAATCAATGAAATACTGATTAGTTATGCAGGCATGTTTTTTTTTGTTTTTTTATTTATTTACTTTCTTTGGAATGTAAATGTGTAGAAACTACCGTGACCACAAAGTGAGGGATCAGTTTATATATTGATTGTAATACATAATTGATTCCCCACTTTACATCCACATTTTAATTTCTTGTTTATCAAATTCTGATAAACATTTTTGAAATGGGTAGTTTTTAATTTCAAATTTTATCATACAATTTAATACTTATTAGTTAGAATAAATTCTATTTTAGTATAAACCCAACTTTAAAGCATTTAATAGTTATTATAACCTTACTTTAAGTTTTTTGAATTCTCGTATACTTGTATTTTGATTGGTCATTTCAGCTCATGTAACAGCGTTTCCCCTTATGAGGGGTGGTTAATTGATTTGAAGCTTTTAAAACTTTTATTCTACAATCTACATTCAACATCATCACTTGAAAAGACACCAGAGGTGTTGAAACAAAATTGTTATTTTATAACATGTTTATGCTATAATTTTTAAATATTTATATATATATATATATATATATATATATATATATATATGGTGGTGGGGAGGTAACACTTCTCTACATCACTGGAAAATCCACTACATTGAAGTGAATGAATTGTATATGCTTGAACTCCTTTAGATTTTACACACTATGTCACTACGACACATTAAAAGCGGAAATATTGTGTTAAAGAAATTGTTAAGTTGCCTCCAACTCTGTAGATAAATAAAGTTTAAAAAATTGTCTTCCTTGATTATTTAAAGTACAAAACAATTACTTTTGGGGCCAGTTTAAAACATTATCAGGGGTGGTCTTAAAATTTTGAACTGCAGTGTATATATTAATAATCAGTTTCACTTATTAAAATTGTTTTAATTCATAGAAATGAGATAAGACAGAGAATCAATTGTTATCTTAATTTAGTTTCATATTCAGAAAGTGTTGAACAGAGACAAGAAATGCTGAGTAAGAAAGTTTTTGATATAGATACAATGTAATTGCAAACTTACTTAAATATTGCAGTAACTTTTTGACAGCATAAATTAACTAACACATAAAAACCAATCCTAAGATGGTATTTCAACTGACAATAGAATTTTGTTATTATTCAAGGACAAAGAGAATTTATCAAGTCCAATGGCAAACAGGAAGGGTTTTATATTTAGTGTGTATTCAAGTGAGTATTCGGGGGAGTATTCAAGTTGGCGGGGGTATCAAAGTTATAACTGGAAAAAGATGGAAATTTCTTACTTTCAGAAAATAGCAAACTTAATCAACTGCTGATCAGCATTAGAGATAAAACAATTGATAATAAAAGCTTTGGACAAAGAGTTTATTAAGTAAAAAGACCAACTGGACCATTTTTTAAGACTTTCCTTAAAAATACATCTTTTAAAAAAAAAAAAAAAAAAAAAAAATCGGAATTCCATTAAAAATTAAATTGAAAAAAAAATTAAATTAAAAAAAAAACAGACAAAAAAAAAAAAAAAAAAAAAAAAAAAAAAGAATATATTATTCCACATTACTATCTGACAAGTATCTTTATCTGTGTTATTTTTATCCCAATATTTCAGCTAACATGTCCTTTCTCAGTTATAAGTAACTAAAATTACTATGTAACATTTAAAGATGACCGGATTCAATATACGCATGAGGAAGGCTGAAGAATATATAGGTTGAAACATAATAAAAACAATAAGAAGGAAGACATTAGAAAATGTGTAAAATAATGAAAACAATTTCAGAAGTTCACTTACACATACAAGTAGATTTAATTGAATAGGTGAAGAACATGCAGGCAATCTATCTGCAACTGTGAAAGTATTGATCTGACCAATAAATTAAAGGTAAAAGGGATCAGCTAAATTGATGGATAGACAGAAAAAAACAAGACAAAGAAGGAAGAAAGCAAAGTAGATTTATAAGCATTAGGTCTCTATAAAAAGAGAGATGCTCAAGGGAGATAGTAGGGGTGTTGTAATTGAATGACAATAAAAGGTTAAGTACGAATTGAGATCTTTTTACTATGTGTTATTCAGGTAGGAAATTTTAAGAAATTAACTAAAAAAAAAATTATATATATTATATAAAAACACAGATGAATAATCAATACTGGAAATAGTGACTTATCTCCTCACCCCACCAAAAAAAAAAGTATTTTTTATAAGGGAGTTTAAAATGATAAAGCAAAAATGATTCAATTTTAAAAAATTACCTGTGACGGTCCAAGTGTTCATCTGATCCAGAAATAGAGGGAAAAAGTGGCAGTAGGCGTTATTAGTTTCATGGATGGAAAAAAAATGGAGGGGGGGGGTGACATAATAAGACTATACAAAGGACAAATCAATATATCACACACTAAGCAAAGGAAAGAGAGAGAGAGAGGCATTGATCAGCAGGGGAAGCAAACAAGCTGCGACTAGACAAGGAAGAAAATGGTTCAGGGGGTAGGTCTAAGTTGTGTCTGGGTGGAAAAATGGATACATTGTTTATTTCAAGTTGTGTGTGTGTATATGCATTGCTTTCTAGTCAACTAACAACTGAAGTTGGACATGTTTCATCCCTACCACCGGATAACTTGTACCCCTTTCACCCCAGATTAAAATAATAATAATAACTTTAGTCAATGAAACATTAACAACAGATACAACAAGCATAGTGAGTTAGGAGCCCTTTGGCACTAAGTAAATAATCCCCCCCCTTACTCTCTATCAAATCAGAAAGTCTAGAAAACAATAACAAAAAAAAAACAACACACTATTAATGTTAATTATCCACTACATTCTTATTTTGACCTTGTCAGGAGAAACATAATTAAAACATTAATCCTCAGGTTTTATTTTTGATTTGAACAAAAATTATGAGATCACTACACATCCTTGGTATCAACAATTAAAAAAAAAAAAGATGGCAAGAAAAAAAAAAAGAAAAAAAAAGAAATAGTGTAACATTAAAATTAAAACTCTGAAATTAGAATGTGTCTGTGATTCAATCTGTTGTTTTAAGTTACTAAGACAGGCAACCCAAATTAAAATTATTTATAACAACAGGAAAACAGATGGCATATAAGACACCAGCCCAACCCGTCTCCATGTGATATTTAATGTTACATATTGTTAGGCTATACAAGTACTGATCATCTACACGGCTGGATAAACATTAGCTTACCAGTTTGCATTTAAGACTTGGAGATTAATATTTTTTTTTTATGTGGTCTTATATGCTATGAGTGGTCAAATTCTGCCTTGTGAGCCATTTCTTAAGAAAGAAAACAGAAAACATTTGATGCTTTGTAATTATATATATATATATATATATATATATATATATATATATATATATATAATTTATTCGAAAATTATAACATAAATAGGTTATGAAATCACTACAAAAATAGCCATTTTGTTTCAACACTTTTGGTGTCTTATCAAGTGATGGTATTGAATGTAGAATTATATTTGCTCTATTCTGTATTGAGCACTCTTTTTTATTCCATATACACCAATCCTATATGTGGGTATGTATATATATATCTGAGTATATTGCACATTAAGTGCTTGTGCTAATAAAATAGTGCTCGATGTAACATAACAGAGCTAGTAAGTATATATTAATAATATATCCCCTCACCTGTAGCATTATATATACATACATATATATACATATATATATATATATATATATATATATATATACATATATATATATATATATATATATATACATATATATATATATATATATATATACATATACATATATATATATATATATATATATATATATATATATATATATACATATATATATATATATACATATATATATACATATATATATATATATATATATATATATATACATATATATATACATATATATATACATATATATATATATATATATATATATATATATATATATATATACATATATATATATATATATATATATATATATATACTATATATATATATTATTTTCAAAATATGATTTAATTATGGTTATTTTCGCTACACAGTTCCAACCATGTTTCAAAATAAGCTAAAACCCTAATTTTATTTTTGCAAATAAATTAAAAGCATTAGTTCTATTTCATCTTCAAGCGAATTTTGGAGTAACTTTAAAATTTACCGGGTTTAAATACACAGCTAAAATCACGTTTCCATGGTTACAGAATATTCTACTCAAATTGAACACGGGGTGTCTAGATTTTCCTTATGACAGTATCATTGTATCAGTTATTAGCTACATTTTGGTAAAGGTGAGGATGTATTTTACACTGAAACCTGACGTCGGTTGAATGGATGTCGTCTGAATTAAAAAAAAAAAAAAAAAAAAATTGTTAACGGTAAAAATTTTCAACGTCATCTTTTAAAATTAAAGATTTTTTTTTTTTTTTTTACAATACTTTTTATTTAACTACGATTTGAAATATTTTCCTTTTTAATTTTTATTTTACTATATTCTTTTTAAGAACAGTTAAATGTATTAGAATCCATTATATTATGTAGGATTATTTTAACATTAAGTTTAAGTATGTATATGAGGTTACATTTTTTTTTTTTTTTTTTTTTTTTTTTGTATATGACTATGACAGCAGAAATGGTTACTTAATTTCACTGATTCAGTAAACTTTTCTTTTATATATAAACCTATTATTATAATATTTCACATATAAGTACTGAGGACATGGGTCATT